AATTATTTATAAATTTTCTGCCAAAATTAACTTTTGGGCATTATCCTACAAAACAGAACTAATGACTATTCTTTTAACTATTTTTACTATATCCTAAAATGCAATAGTCAACATTTTTGCAGATTCCCAATCTATCATCACTAAATATACCAATATCTATACTATACTTTTCAATTCTAATAACCTTTTTAAATTCAATACATGGCCTATATGGTATACTTTATTGAATATTATTAAATATTACAATCTTCAAATCAACTTCTATAAAGTACAAGCTCATAATAACAATAATTTGAACAATCTTGCCAACTCTCTTGCTAAGTAATATAATCTTTTCTCTGATTTATACTTCAACTATACTAATATCTATAACCTATATCACATACTATTTTAGAACTAACATTTTATAGAATATCTTACAAGAACATTTATTAAAAATATTTGCAAAGTCTACATTCTGACAATGTGGTCATCTCAAAAATGAAACCAAAAATAGAACCAACTTATTTAAGAAATAGATTGAAGATTCATTTGGCTATACTTTAACTATAACCAAAAACTAACACATAATATAACCAACTTCAAACTTAATCATTTCAAATTCTTTAAAATCAAAATTCTACTAAATGAACTATATATACACTTTCTATATTATAAAATATATCTATATACTTTTTATAATATAAACTGCTTTTATTACAACTTATCTAACTCCTTAACATATTAGTAAGCATGTTCTAATCCAACATTACTTACTAGTATTATTCAAGATACTATTTCCAAACATATTAGCCAAAGCAACCTGGACCTCTCTAAACTTCAGCAAGAAAAACTAATTTAAAAAATTCAAAATTATAAAACCTTCTATCAGATATCATTTAATAAAAACTCATTTTATCTTGATATTATTTTTAAAGAACTTATATCCAAATCTCTAATTCAAACAATTCAAAACCTTAATATTTCTTACAAATTAGCATTACAAACAGTTATTAAAATATTACTTGAAATTAATAAGCTATGCTACAAACTACTCTTGAAACCATATTGCATAAATTTTTCAAATTGAAAAAACAACAAGGTCTTAAACCTCCTTTTCCCAAATACTTAACTCAAACTAATTATAATAGACAAACTAAATACAACTGCCAAACATATACATATTTATATATATGTAGACTACCTGACCAAGTGCACTCAAACTCTAACACATGCCTACCTTTTGGTTATACTATTAGAAAAATCAATATATGAACTATTCTTTGGATCAAATAGAATATTTTATTTAACTATATTTTAACTATCCAAATCTAGGTAAGTCTTAACTACTCTAGTAGGTTTAGATTGCAGATAAATATATCTGAGTTTTACTTTTGAATGTAGTTTTCTTCTTATTTGTACTTAAGTTAGTTATATATAGTTAGCAGTTTAATGGTTAGCCCTAACTGCAAATGTTGGCCTCAGTCATAGCATTTATATAGAATTATTTTTGTATATAATAACTCTATGAAATTACTAACTTTAAAAACTACTAATAAAGATATGAGCAAGGTCTCATCTTAATACTAAAAAAAAAAAATTTGTGACAGCTCATGTATCACAATACATAGTATAAGCACTGATTAGAAACCAAGATCAAGTATATATGATTGATTCTATAATAGTAAAATATATATAATTGTGTCTCAATGCCTAGCAAAACAAATATGCCTAAATTGAAAAAGATATTATGACTGTAATAGTGATGTTTCAGTGTAGTGAGATCTAAATATTAAGAAACTAAATTAGTATAGTTGTAATAAAATAAAGTAAAATAAAACAATTAAGAATACAATACTTATCTAGTTTAGTAAAACTCATAATAGTACAATTATGTAAAGGCATAATAGTAAAAAAATAAGAAGAAAAGCTAAAATTGAACAAAATTTGTTAATAAAGATAAAATAGTATAAAAAGCAAATAAAAAATTTAATAAAATACTAATCTTGGGCACCTCAAGTAAGGAGAAAAAAGGATCAAAATTGTCACAATAAAATTTATACTCACCAAATTTTTATCCACACCTTGAAGCCTTATTACTTTAAATCTGCAACATTACAGGTTGTTTTGTTAGATAAAATAACAGACTTGCTATTTACCTGTTGCATTTTTTATGTTTAACTGTGAGATTCATTTATATCCCTCCTGATTTGAAAAATAAAGAAAAAGTTAGATTAGAAGAAAAAATATAAAAACCAAAAGAAAGAAACAGTAAATAGATATCTTACCAATGCATTATATAAAAGATGAAAGCTATCATATCAAATTTGAAAAACTGAACAGATTTTGGATTGTATCATCCAAACTGATGTACTGTGTCTAAAAAATATAAAGAAAGATTAATTTAGATAAAAGAACAAGAAAGAAAAAAAAAGAAAATACTTACTCAAAGAGAAGCTAGCTAATATATTAGAAAGAAGAAACATAACTGTAGTAGATGTACTTAGCTGAAATTGAAAATAAAAAAAAGAAAATTTTGTTAGAAAATTAATAATGAGGCAAATAAAAACAAAACCAAAAAATAATAATAATACTTCTTTTTGAAATCTGAAAAACAGAATCCAGCCCAGGTTTTGGTGTTCTGGCAAATTAAAAGAAAGTCAAAACCATTATTATCAAAAAAAATGAAAAGATAAAACAAAAAGTTTAGAAAATTACTTACTTAAAAAAAGTGTAAAAGTCTTGAGACTTAATGATAAAACCTCTGCTCCAAATAACAAAAAAAAAACTCTGTTAGTATTGATAAAAATAATAAGACAACAAAAGAAAAAAACTAAAAGTAGATACTTTTCACTAAGTTGTTCTAATACCAAATACTATAAAAAAGTCAATATACTGATCTAGTAATATTAGAATAATCTGAAAGTAAAAGAAAAATTTTTAATTTGAAGAATTAATAAATAAACTTGGAGCCTAAATGTTAAAAAAAAAAAAATTTACAGATCAGAAAAATTAAACTCACAGTAATAGAAGTTTAAAGTAAATGCATAAATATCAGCATAATGATAGCAATAATAAACAATTACAAAAACATATATAAAAAAATAATTTGAACAAAAAATATATATATATATATATGAAATATATCAACTGACAATATCTAACTAAAACTGATAGTAGTACAAAATCTAAACAAAAGTGATCTGACTTCAGCAAGCCCAAAAGAATTGCAAAAATAGCAAACCATTACTAAAGTTTTTTCTAAAAAGGTTCTAATGTTCTTATTGTAATGTAAAAAGACACAATATGTTTATATGTTCAGAGGTCAGAAGGTAAGATATAAGGTGTACTAGGCTCCTCATAACACTTATTGCAAAACAACTTCAAAAGGTTTAAGAAATAGTAAATGAAATTTTTTGAAGATACCCTAGATGCTAAACAGATTTCTTGGGCTCTAGAATTTATAATAGGATTTGTATAAATTTTGCTAAATAAAAGTAAACTAAATAAGAGGAATAAAAAGAGCCTGATGCCAATAAATAGCTCTTGCAAGAACATCTTGACAGTCTTCTTAAACTGTGAAAGCAATAAATATAGATCTAAAGAAAAAAACCTAAAAGAAAGAAAAAGTAGATTAGTAAGCAAAAAAACATAGCATTCAAGTAGTATTTGAAATCAGTTAAAAGTAATAACTCATTTGAACAAAATAGCTCTTGACAATACTATAATGTAAGAATAGATATAACTAAAAATAAAAAGGTAGCATTTGAATAGTACTTAAAAAAATACTGAAGATGAAATAAAAATCAAAAAGATGAACATATAGCATTTGTTTATTATGAATCTGCTAAAATAGAAGATATTAATAGAATATATAATGATAACCATTATTATGAAAATAATATTGAAATTGGAAAAGATGAATAAATTGGTGTTAATAAAGATGAATGAATTAGAATTAAAAGAGATAAACATAAAACATTTAAAGATTTTCAGAAGGATGCCAATATAACATATGCTAAGAGAATATTCTATATTATTTATTATTATAAAAATAGAATTAAGATTAAAAAAGCTAACTATAAAACACTGAGACAATATTTGAAACTACTAAAGAAGGCTATTTGAACAAACAAAACTGTTTTGATCTCTGCTATAAAAGAAAAACTGGAGCTGAAAAGAATGAAAAAGCTAAATATAAGGAAATTAAAGTTAAAAAAAATAAACATGAAACATTCAAATATTTTCAAAAAGCCATCAAAATAGGAGATTCTAATAGAATAAGTAATGTTGATCATTGTTATGAAATTGACATCTTAAAGAAAGTCAATAAAGCATCAAATGTTATTAAAAAGTTGCTAACATATGCTACGCTAAAGGAATCTATTAAGTTGGACATTACAGTAATTACAAGATGCCTTCTAGAAAACTAGTTTATTGAGATTTATATAGCAAAAATATTCTGGCTGCTAGTTTTAAACTGGGTATATGCCACTGACTTAAACTTTTTATTAAATAAAAGCCAAAACAAGCAGAAGAATATAATTTATATAGTCATATCTTATGTTATATCAAAAGTTTTACAAGATGAAAATTGTATACAAGCAGCTGACATCTATGAATTCAGAGTTATTATATCAGAAATATTAATTGAATAAAGAGCTTTTAATGATAAACAGCTTAGTATTAGTCTTATTTGTCAGAGTAAATATCTAGAAATCAATCATGATATACTAGAATGTTATACAAAATTAGCAAAACTGTATATAGATCCTAATCTACAAAAGTGGCCTATTTTTTATGAACTTTCTTGCCTATTTGATGAATGGAGCAAAAGTATAGAAAAGTTTAAAATTTTGAATAAGATTAAGAGGCAGTTCTTAAAAGCTAATAAATTCATACTGAACTTCAAAAAGAATAAACATCTGACCTATATATATATAAACAAATTAACTAATTTAGAAAACCTTTATAAAGTCTGTAATAAATAGAATGAAAAAGTAAATAGATTCAAGACATAGATGAACAAAATAAAGAAAATAGCAAAACATAGTAAAACTTATCTGAAATTATGTAACCAAGGACCAGAAGGTGATAAAAAAGAAGAAATTACCAAAATTACTGCATGTTATCTTGAATTAAAACAGGTACTTTTACTGACTCTGAAGTAACAGTCCTGGTTTTGAATGGTAGGTCTAAAGTAAAAAAGAAATAATAGTTAGAAATTAAAAAAAAATTTATTAATGAAACAAAAGTTATCATCTGATACTTATCTGAACATAATATATATAATTGAATATTCAATCTCAGTAGAGAATAGCAGATATATGTCTACAATAAACTAATTTCTATTAGTATTACAATTGGAAATAAAAATAAAATAAAAAAATTTATTATAGTAATAATAATAATATATATTATAATTCACTATGCCAAGACCTTCAGCATTAAAAAGAAACTGACTTTGATAATAAAACAGAAGAGAAGCTATTAGTGATTAAGAAATTTTAACTCAAATGGCAAAAAAACTCAAGAAACTAGGACTATTTTTCCTTTATATATACCAGAAGAGCCACAATTACAAGAACAATTAAGTAATAAAACAACTGTCAAATTCTAATATATAGTACATATAAGATAAGCATTGGGAAATGTTACAAGCAAAAAATTTATGACAGCTTATGTATTACTATATGTAGCATAAGCACTAATTAGAACCCAGAATTAAGTATGCATGATCAACTCTATAACAGTGAAACATGCATAATTATGCCCCAACACCTAGCAAAATAAATATGCCCAAATCAGAAAAGGCATTATAACCATAATAGTGATGTTTCAGAATGATGAAATCCAAATATTAAGAGGACAGATTAGTATAGTTGTAATATAATAAAGTAAAAGTAAAACAATTAAGAATACAATACTTATCTGATCTAGTAAAAACTATAATAATGCAATTGTATAGAGCTATAATAGTAGAAAAATAAGAAGAAAAGCTAAAATTGAACAGAATCTGTTAGTAAATGTAAAATGATATAAAAAGCAAATAGAAAATTTAATAATATACTAATTTTGGACACTCCAAATAAGAAAGAAAAAGGATCAAAATCATTACAATAAAATTTATACTTGCCAAATCTTTATTTATGTCTAGAAGCCTTATTATCCTAAATTTGCAATGTTATATAATGTCTTGTTAGGTAAAGCAACAGATTCACTATTTATATATTTGCAATATCAACAATAGATTAAGAGACTTTTTAATAAGTAGGGTTTAAAAACTTATCTAAATATGTTTAATAATATACAGCAATTCAGAATATATCTTTTAGTAACTAGAACAAAAGAATATAAAATTACTAATAAATAACTAAAAAATATTTAAAATAAAAATAAAATTACTTATTAATAAAATTTTATCAAATTTGTTTTTCAATTAGATTAACAATTAGAACAGAATATGAATAATCTTTTTAAAGAATTATTAATCTGCTGTTAAAGTTTTTAAATTCTATAAAATTAAACTTATTAATTTTTAATAATTACAAGTTAAAATAATAATAATAATAATAATAATAAATAAAATAATTTCAAATTTATAATACTTATCATAAATGAATAATATCATATAATTATTATTAGATAACAGATCTGCAGTGATTTGTATTATAGTATCCATATCTGAAAGCTTATAACTGCAGAAAGTTTCCAATTAGATATATAAAGAAATACAAGCTAATATATATAAATGTACCCCTGAACATTGTAAAATAGTCAGTATAAATACAAGATAAATCCATATTAGGTTATAGTAGATCTGTGTTGGAAAATTCACAAGAACACTAATTAGAAAGATCACTTGAAAAGTTTCAAGTATGATGTTTATACCTGAAAACTAATAACTGCAGGAAGTTTCTAATTTGGAATATAGAGGAATACAAGCTGATATACATAAATGTACTCCTAAATATTGTAAAATAGTCAGTATAAACACAAGATAAATCATATAAGGATTAGTATAAACATGCAAAATAGGAACTGCATAGTTTATCTAGCATTATCATTATACAAATAATAAACAAAAAATATACAAATATATCATCTTCTACAAACATATAAATACAGTCACTGTTTTATTAAAAGATACAACCAATTGTAGTTAGTAAGTAAAATAATATATGAAAGCAGATAGTCAAGCCTCTATATATGGAAGGCCAAGATAATGACAGTTAAACTCAATGTACAGAGCAGACTTTGGTATTTGCATAACAGTAAGAGCCAAGCATACAGTGATTAACCCTGTAGAAGACAACCTCAAAAGATTATTTTTAATATCTTAAAGCTTCTATAATTTTTATATATTTTAACAAATTCTTTTTTTATTACAACTTATTATTTTTTCTTCATGGTCAAACCATTCAATCTCTTATACAATATATTAACAAACATATATAATTATAATAACACTGTTTCTAGTATTACTTTCTCTATTAGCAATACCTATGATGAAACTTATATATATCTTTCAAATGACTTCCTCTTACCTATTATACTATTATTTATTTTTATATTCTTTTTATCTTTTACAAAACTTCCTCTTAGATCAAATTTCTCTAATTCTACTTTTATTCTATCTAATTTATTTCTTAATAGTCATACTATATCACAAGTATTTACACTTACACAAACTTCATATAACCTTCATTTAAACATTTGTATATACAATGTTAGAGGTTATAATACAATAACTAAAAAAGAAGCTTGGCAAAATTATTGTTTTCATAATAATATCTATATTTCTTGTATTACTGAAACCAAAATTGCTAATAGTACTAATCTTCAATTTTACAATAACAATTTATTCATCTACTTCTGAGCCAATTTAGAAATTTTAGCAGATGGTACTGCTATTATAATTCAAAAACATTTACATCTACATGTACACAGTTACCAAACACACTCTAGTGAAGCAATTGCTTTAAATTTCTTTTTCAAAATGAAATTAAACTTTAAATTATAGCTGTCTATCTTTCTTTTACTGATATGCAAAAATGTAACAATATACAAAATACTATTATTATATGAATTCAACAAGCTCTTCAATACAATCTTCATTTAATAATACTTAAAGACTTTAATATACATAAGAATATCTGTAGCTTTTTATCTAAATTTAAACTTATTAATTATTTATACTACTCTAACATATTTGATCTTGGTGCATACATTGGCAACAAGCACTTTATATAGTCAAATAATAATAGTTGCAGTTGTATTAATTATATCTGAACTAATTTATTCAATATTTAATTTTTTCTTTTATATAAACTTGATGATAGCAATACCTTAACACTTAGTAACTACTCTATTCTCACATCTACCTGGACTTTTACTAATGCATATAGCAAATCTCTATATCATCATACTAGCATCAGTTACAGAATCTTTAACTACAAAGCTATGTTAACTAATAAATAGACAGAATTCTCTAACCTTTTCTCTCACAATCTTAGCCTTCATAATACACCACTTAATAGCAATACTAATAAAAGCATTGAAACTACTTAGCACAAGATTGAACATTTAATCATTAATACTGCAATACATTCTATTTCTAATAAAAAAACTTATAAACATAGCTACAATTATCAATATTCCTTTAACTTTACCTTAATCTACACATTACTTAAAGAGCTTGGGCATCTAATAAAAATTGTTAAAAACACTTACAACAATCTCAGCATGAACAGAATAAACTTTAGAATTAAGACTATTAATAATAGATTCTACTGTGATCTTTAAACTCTTGATCCAAATGATTATTCTCAAATTCATGCATGGATTCGATATGTATAAAATATCTAAAAACAAGTTTATCATGCTTATCATACAGAAAATTTATTACTACTTCATTAACAAATCCAACAAGCAACTAAAAAAAGATGTAAAACACTTTCAACATATTCTAAACAAGCTATTAACAGTATTCTTAATTAATACAAAGCTTTTATTTACTTTTCCAATATTAAACTTCTTGACCAACTTATTACAGACTTTAAATTTATAAAACAGCATATACAATCTTATTTAAATGACTGAACTGCATATCAACCAACTAACCAAGCACTGTTTGACAGCTTTTGGCATACACAGTATTAACTACAACTACATATTAATATTCAATAGTATTACTTTCTTAACTCTTTTATAACAAAAAAAGAAGTTCTTCAAACTTTGTCAAAACTTCTCAATAAAAAAGCCTGTAGATCTACAGGTATTAGCTATGAAATACTTAAATATGCAGATATTCCCTATATTAAAGCTATTTAACTGTTGCTTTAATTCAAGTCAAATTCCCAAACAATGGAAACATAGTAGAATCTATCCAATTCCAAAGCATAATATATTTAATAATGACTTAAGTCTCATTTGCCCTATCAGTCTCATTGAACATATTTGAAAAGTCTATACAAAAATTATTACTACTAGAATCAGTACTGTGTTTTCTCAATATTTTATACTTTTATTATACAATTATGTCACTCTATCTAACAACAGCATATCTATACCAATTCATATATTTAATAACCTTATCAAAGATGCATCATGCAACAACAAATTAATTTGGCTTTTATTTCAAGATATAAGTAAAGCATATAATTCAGTTAATCTTACTCTTTTTTAAAAATTCTTGCAATGTCTTGCTCTCCTTTACTCTATTATAAATGCTATCACTAACATTCTTTATAATTGATAAAATTAAGTTATTACAAACCTCAGACTTACTCCATCATACTCTGTACACAATGGTATTGATCAGGGTGAAACTATCATTTCTTTTTTATAAAGAATCTACTATGATCCACCTATCTCATATATTCAAAACAACTTTAAAAGTTATAATATACAAGTTTTTTGACTAACTAATTTAAAACATCAAACATATAATAAGCTTAGCTCATACTGCTTAGTTCTTGCTTATATAGATGACACTCTCTGAATTGCATCCTCATAACAAAAACTATCATAAATCCTTTCCATAGCTGAATCATTCTTTAACATGGCTAATATACAAATTAATCTTTTTAAATCAGTACTTACAACTAATAACAAACAATCTAACTATACTCCTATTATATATAAC